ATATATATATATATAGTTCATAATGTATATGGCTTTTGCAAATAGCATTGTTTTAAGTGCTATATAAAAAAATGAAAGGTACTACAAACATTAAATACTATGGTTATTCATGTCAGGTAAAATGCTGCTTCGTGATTGTTGTGGCTTTTATGTGTAGGCATATCCTTCTTTTGTCATGAGTAAATCACTTAATAAGTCCACTTCATTACTACATCAATCACTGCTTACAAAGATATAGAGAGGAGAAATTTTACAAAAGATACTTAGCTTTCTCTTTCATTCACCCTTTCAGTCGTGTAAATATTGGTTGGTTGCAGTGCAAGGGGGGGGGGGCAGCATATCGAGGGTAATTCACTTACTTTTCTCTTTCTCACAAGGGCTACAGTGCAGTTTTCCATTCAGGGAACATATCCCGTGACAATAACGGACTCCTCCAGGCACTGCGAGGCATCTGAGGTATTTCTGCTTCAATATCCTGATTATTTATGCATGGTTTATTCGCATCAGGTTCAACGAAGAGCTTATAATATGCACCGGGATTTTCATTTAAAATGTAGGAAAGAACGAATTTAAGGCGATCAAGAAGTTGGCTACTTTGCCAAATTTAATTTGAAGAAAAAAGTCCTTGGCGACGCAAACCGGCGTTTCTTTCCTTACTGTTTGTTGAGCGGCTAACTCGTTTAAAACTAAAATAAAACTATTATTCCGGTATATACTGCATAGAAATAAATTATAAAGATTAAAAAAAGTTATAAAGTTTAGAAACATGAAAAAAGTGACTTTAAGAAAGATTAAACTTTAAGTTAAACAGTTGGTTAAATACACTTTAAACGCGTTACATCTGCAAGTATCCAATTGATATTCATTAAAATAGACTAAAACACAACAAGTACTGATTATCAGCGGAATATTGGACGCCTTAATGTAATCGCGAAATCTCTGTGTAGCGAGCGCGTTCGCCTCAGCAAACTCAACTTTTTTAGCGACTCGTTTTTTTTTTCTTCACGAAGGAAACGCTCACGTGCTGTCTTTTTTTAACGTCAAAATTAAAGTACAAGATGTTGAATTGTGTCATGGTGTCTGAGGTCATTAAGAGCGGAAAAGCGGACGATGTAATTCATAATAATACCTTGGAAAGATGATTGTTGTCATTGATGCTTTTTTTTCTTTGTTCGCGCCGCGTTTAGCACCGCCCCCTTGAAAACGCCTCAAACTTTCCCTCAGATTTGCCAGACCTGTCAAATTCAGATGAACTGTGATTTAACTAAATTTACCATTAAACTAACAAGCTGACGCCATTTTAAAGTTAAATAATATTTTTAATTAATTAATTTTGCAAATGCTTTTATCAAAGCTGCATTCATGCTTTATCAGAAAATAAAAGTATCTGTGTATGTATACTGTAAAAACTGCAGTTCCTTATTGATGTTTTTTTCTGTTCACACCGACCCGCCCACTTGAAAACTCTTCAAATTTTCCTTCTCAGACCTACTAGACCTGTCATCTAAGATGGTGTACTGTAATTTAACTAACTTTATTATCACAATCTTCTCATTAAACCAACTTTTTAAGCCTTTGATGTTAAACAGTATTCATTTTGCGAACGCTTTTATCAAAAGCGGCTTGTAGTAAAATAAAGTTATATATTATAATAAGCAAGTCTGTGGAGACATAACCAGTTTACCCCCGTTAAAGAATGTCCTTATTAAGCAGTACGCCCACTTTACAGACGTTTAACACAAATATATAAGGCTGAAAAGAAAACTATGTTGTTTTGCCACCCCTCTGAAGTTGAAATCCATTTCTGTCATGGTTCTAAATCTTTTGAGGCCCATTATTTACCCTAAAATATTATTTTTAATGAGCCAGTTGAGGACAAAACCAGGAGTCCAGTCTTGGCCAAGAGTTGGTTATTTCTACATGCTAAGACAAGTCTAAGTGGGCCTGTAAAAAGATGCAGGCTGGTGCTTAAAGAGCCACACGGTTTGCCTGGAATAATACTACACTTTATAAAAAACTCCATCATCGACGCTGGGTGATTTAATGGAAAAATTTATGAGGGGGCACATTTGTTCATATGTTCACTGTATGCGCCAAATAGGCTAAGCAGTAAAGCTAAGCATTTTATCTTCTCTTTTTTTAGCCTTCAGTCTGGAGTGCACAAGCTTGAAGTTCGCGTCTGAAGAGCTCATTGGAAAGGAAGAGTTTTATTGCAGGTGAGACACGTTTAACGGCGCTTCAGGAGTCGCACAGCAGGGACCAATGGGAGTGTGGAAGCTGGCCAAGGTGGTGCTCGGATGGGCCGCGATCTGGTGGGCCACGGTCCATTCGGCGCAGGCGCAAGGAGATGGAGACATCCAGGCCAGTCGATTCACTGGAAAACCTGAGGGGGAGGTGCAACAGAGGGTCCGTCGGAGAGGCCAGGAGTCCCTCAGGGGGTAAGAGGTTTTTTTTCAGTCACGTCCTGCTCCTGTTCTACGTCAGTTTCATTCTTGAAGTGGACACTCTAATGGCTTAACCATATGAGGCGGAGGGTTTAACTCAACTTTTATTACCAGAAGTACAGTATATTCATTTGGGGGTTGGTATATCTCATCTTTAAAGCTTGAATTCGAAGCTAGCATCATCTTCTTTAAATGCACTTTTTAATGCAGTAGATTTATGTTGCAACCTGCTGTGCTGTTTGGGTTAGAGCCAAACTGGGTTGAAAGCATGATTAAGAAAGCAACGTATGTGATGGAGCCAGCTGCAGAAGTCTGCTGTGAAGGAATTGTATGTACTGAAATGCCTCAGTATGTTGGTCATGTCAACAGGAGTGTCATTTCCTACTGATAACTTGCACCGTTGAAAGATATTATTGTTTGGTTATCTTTACCCTAAAATATTATTTTTAATGAGCCAGTTGAGGACAAAACCAGGAGTCCAGTCTTGGCCAAGAGTTGGTTATTTCTACATGCTAAGACAAGTCTAAGTGGGCCTGTAAAAAGATGCAGGCTGGTGCTTAAAGAGCCACACGGTTTGCCTGGAATAATACTACACTTTATAAAAAACTCCATCATCGACCGTGGGCGATTTAATGGCTAAATTTATGAGGGGCCACATTTGTTCATATGTTCACTGTATGCGCCAAATAGGCTAAGCAGTAAAGCTAAGCATTTTATCTTCTCTTTTTTTAGCCTTCAGTCTGGAGTGCACAAGCTTGAAGTTCGCGTCTGAAGAGCTCATTGGAAAGGAAGAGTTTTATTGCAGGTGAGACACGTTTAACGGCGCTTCAGGAGTCGCACAGCAGGGACCAATGGGAGTGTGGAAGCTGGCCAAGGTGGTGCTCGGATGGGCCGCGATCTGGTGGGCCACGGTCCATTCGGCGCAGGCGCAAGGAGATGGAGACATCCAGGCCAGTCGATTCACTGGAAAACCTGAGGGGGAGGTGCAACAGAGGGTCCGTCGGAGAGGCCAGGAGTCCCTCAGGGGGTAAGAGTTTTTTTTTCAGTCACGTCCTGCTCCTGTTCTACGTCAGTTTCATTCTTGAAGTGGACACTCTAATGGCTTAACCATATGAGGCGGAGGGTTTAACTCAACTTTTATTACCAGAAGTACAGTATATTCATTTGGGGGTTGGTATATCTCATCTTTAAAGCTTGAATTCGAAGCTAGCATCATCTTCTTTAAATGCACTTTTTAATGCAGTAGATTTATGTTGCAACCTGCTGTGCTGTTTGGGTTAGAGCCAAACTGGGTTGAAAGCATGATTAAGAAAGCAACGTATGTGATGGAGCCAGCTGCAGAAGTCTGCTGTGAAGGAATTGTATGTACTGAAATGCCTCAGTATGTTGGTCATGTCAACAGGAGTGTCATTTCCTACTGATAACTTGCACCGTTGAAAGATATTATTGTTTGGTTATCATAAATTTTACGTCTATATATGTCCAAGAAGAATGCATGGTGTTTTAGGTCTCTAGTTTCTGTTGAAAGTTGAGGTAAACACACTTAAATGTATTAAAAGATGAGTGATTGCATGATGGATGTTTTTCCAAGCCCTCCAGTGGCTCTTGAACTTAGTGTCTGCATTCGTCTCCACAAAGCCAAAGCTGTGTATTTTTCTCATTTTTGGGAAAACAATGGCTGTTTTGTGTCGTGCGGCCCTCATATGTTTGAAACAGTTATTCCAATCATCCGCTCATCTGTACTTGCTTATAACTCCCCTGCAAACTGCAACTGGAAATGAGGTATTCTGATTACTCAGGGGGCTCCAACAAGGGACATTTGTTTTCAAGCTGGAGGTGAGAAAGAGCATTTCACAACAGAGATATGTCTCTAATTCTCGGATCCTTATTTAATCAGGAAAGGGTTTTTGCAGTTAAGGTCTGAAACAAATCTAGCAAGGCCAAACAGACACTTTGAGTCCGTTAGGACTGTAGAGACTGAAGTTCAGAAACAAAAGCACCATTCTGTATGGTACCCCAGTACCAGAAGTGGGACCAATAGTAGTTGACCTGTATCGTAATCAAAAATTAGTTAACTGAACACTTTGGCCAATTTTCTAGGTAAACTAAGGGGGAGTATCTGATCCGGTCAGTGGAGCAGAACCATGTGGCACCGAGTCAATTGAGAAATTTGCCACAGTGCCCTTTTGAGAGCCCATGCTTTCCTGTCCAACAGTTCCCTTCGTCAACATAAAGACCCTTCTTACAAATGTTGCAGTCTTAAAGAAAGGTCTAATCACCACCATGCACCATTTGTAATCCTATTTAGCATAACAACGCAGTGTAAGAACAGCCCTTAAGAACACTGATTATAATGACGTTGCACGAAAAAGCACATTTGATCTACTGCTGACCAATCAAGCCAAGTTATCCCAGGTCAGACGGTTTAAGAAAGCTGCAGTAGGATTTGGAGCTTACTGGCTCTCCTTGCTAAGCATAATTTGGCCGTCAGATTGGAGAAGTCTGATCACATTGCATTTGGGGGCCCCTTAAATGAAGGTAAAGTCTGGGAGACTGCTGTAAAAGCAATGGGCTTGGGGTGAGAATATGATGATGTGGTTCTCGATGCCAACCCTGAGGAGTTTTGCCCAGTATAAAGCCAGCAGCATGCTCAGGGTAGATGTTTTTAGAAGTCTTGCTGGCTTGGCCAGGGTTTCTCTTCATTTGCTCAACATGTCTCCGAGGCAATGTCAGCTCCACTAGACTCCAAAGATGGGCTCCAGTTCTTCCAAAACGCTTGATGTTTGCATCCCCAGAGAGAATGAGTTCTTTGTCTTGGATTTATATTCTTTTAACAGCTAGAAGTGCATGCCAGTCAAAAGGAAAACAATCCTTCTTGGATCTTGAAGAGCTTGCTACAAGCCAACAACGTTTTGTTGTGAAATTGTTCTTTGCAGAAATAAATTTTTAAGTTTAGGAACAAAAAAAATTGCCTGTGGATATGGAGCCAACTTAGTTTTAAGGGACCCCACAAAAAAATGGAAAAGCAGTATGTTTTTTCTCTTTTCAGTGGGGTTTGTCATCTAACCAGTGGAAAGGAAGATGCAGATCTGATAAGTGTATCCCAGAAATTCTTATCGTCTTATCAAATGCACTCATTGTATTGCAACAAACAAGAAAAAGCATAACAGCCAATTGATTTCTGTTGTTTATTCCCGATACCATCAGTCGCTCCAAAGTGTCTTGTGGACCAGCTTATGCATGCAAGCAACAACATTCCCACATGGGACTTGAAATCATATGGAGCGACCCCCCTCCTCCCTCGTTGCATTAAAAGTGTGTATAGTCTAGACGGCAGTGTGATTGGAGTTCATTAGGGTCAGGGGCTTGAAACAGGCCAAGTTGAACAAGGAAAGGCCGTAGAGATCCAGAGGCTTTACACATGGGAGCTTTATAATGTTAAAACAACCATGCCATTAGCTCATTGGCTCTGGACTTAGCAGCAATCCTGGGGGCTGGGAGCAGATGCCTTTAAATTGACCTTTAACCTCTCTAGGAGTGGTAGCCGGTGGGACGGAATTGTGCTATCTTTGTCTAACCCTCTCTCCTTCGTCCTGTTAGGTTTTTATGACCTCACCGAGAACTGGCCAGAGGCCGTCAAAGAATCCTGATTTCCTATCTCTGCCTTGTCCTGACCTCATTGGAATTCAGTTTACGAGGGGTTCTCAAATGTCGTAAAGTTGACCTGCTTTATCTGGAGATATCTGGCAAAGAATTACTTGCAAATCTCTTTAGGCCTGAGGGCTGGTAGACCCTGTAAATGAAAAAGGATTTGACCTAGTGAAGTGAAATGAACTGAAGGAGTCACATGGCCTTTCCAGGTATTTGCCTTGTAGCAAAGAACCCGTTACCAATTTATATCTCTCTTTAAGATGCTGGTTTGTATTTGAGATGTTGGGTTTTGTAAATGTTCTTCATTTAGTATTGGTAAACACACCATACTGCAACTAATACATTTAGTAGTTTGCACATGGATTGCGTGTTTGAAATGCATTTTCTGGTATTCACTGCAGATACTTCTCGACCACCCGAAGTAGTGTTTCAGCTTAAAGAAGTGTGAACACACTGAAAAGTAGGGATGCACTGAAATGAAAATTCTTGGCTGAAGCCGAAACGGAATATAATGAAACACTTGGCCGAAGGCCGAATACCGAACACGGTTTTTCATAGTTTTTTTCCATGTCTTTTGCCAATTTTTCTTGACCATTGCATAATTTAAATAGTTAAAATGTGCTTTTCCTGTTTTGTCTTGCTTTTCAAAGAAAAAAATCAATTACAAAACAATTTTAAAATATTATTCAGCTATTTTTGGGACCCCCTTCTTGAATCAGGCATGTGATTGGCTAAAGACAAAAAAGATGGAAAACTGGACACTTTGAGCAGCAAATCAGCATATTAGAATGATGACACTGAAGACTGGAGTAATTATGCTGTAAATTCAGCTTTGATCACATAAATAAATGACATTTTACAATATATTCACATACAAAACAGTTATTTAAAATTGTAATAATATTTCACAGTATTACTGTTTTTACTGTATTTTTTACTTTATAAATAAATCAGACTTGCTGAGCAGAAAATACTTTTAAAACATTAGAAAATACTACAGGTCCCAAACTTTTGAACACTATGTGTAAATGTTATAATAAATGTATTATTAGAGCTGTTGTAATTTTTCTCTTCATTATTATTGTTTTACTTTTTTCTCTTATTTTACAGAACAACAGTAAAATTAGAATACTAACATTGTTGATGGATTTCTTGCTTTTTCATAGAGCTTTTATTTTGGCGGAAACCCGCAGGAAGACTTCAGTGCTTCGAATTTGGGAAGATGTTTGTCGCACATATCACACTCTCACATCCATGCCTTGTAAAAATGTATAAAAAGGTTACCAAGCAACTGACGAGTAACACTGTTTAAGTGCAGATTTTCCTCGTGCTTTGGATTTTGAACCCTGGCTAAAAAGCAGATAGCGTCGCGAGCTCGTGCAGCGCTGTCAGAATACATGCAATTAGTGCATGTATTAGAAAACATAACATTCTGCAGTTTATTTAGTAAGTGTTTAAGGCCATTTCACAATTTCAATCATCATACAGTAACCAGTAACAACCACCCTTCCTCTTCTCATCAAAGACATGTGATGCAGTACTAAACAGTCTCTTGCTGTCGGTGCTTGTAATGATTTTTGTGCCTTTCTCGGGCAGTTAAATGCTTCTCCACTGCTGACATGTTTGCTGCATTATAAAGAGTGCGCGCCTCTCATTCTACGCTGGTTGGTATTTGATCGCGTCACCAAAAACATCATTGTTCGTTACAATTTATACAGCATTTTCACTTATTTGGCTGAACACCGAAAGAGCTTTTTTTTTGTTGTTGCTATTTTCGGCCAAATTATTTCAGTTGCCGAACATTCGGTGCATCCCTACTGAAAAGCGTAGGATTTAAGAAAGAAGAGAACGTTTTGCGTCCAGGCATAACCTTCTTGGCATCATTGTGCATGAGTTTCAGACCTATTTTTTCAGGCTCCAGTTGAGAAATAAGACTCTATGGTTCCACATTGCTAATAATTCATCATCATCTGGCCTAATTTCCACTGCTGCTTTTGTTTTCCGCGGCCCACCTCCCAACCCCCCAAACTTTTCACTTCCACTTGTTTTCTTTACCTCCCACTGATTCTTGCCCTTTCCCCAGCATTTTCCGTTTTCATGTTCCAACATCTAGCCCTCCATTAGCCTCTACTCTTTCTGGCCCTCCACCTTTCTGGCCCCACACTCTCTTGGTTTCTGCTGTTAGCAGTTGTGTCGTCTGGCAATGCGGTTTGAAATCCATCAAAAGATTCAAACTACAGCTGGTCGTCCCCAGGTGACTGACATTTGTAAACATCTTGACTTGTAGAGGAAAGGAATTTATGTGTGTGCGTAGAAAGACAGATGTACCTTGTGGTTTTTTTAAAGGTCCATTTACAGCAGGCTTAACTTGGTGCTGATAGAAATAAAACTGTTTTCACAGTGAGGGTCCAGGTTTGATGGAGATCCTAAGGGCTTGTTGGAAAGAAACTGCCAAAATGTCACATTCTGAGGGCGATTTGCCTCCAAGCTGTCAGTTACTAGTTGGTCGTCTTGGATCAAGTCACTAAACAGAGAGTCCCAAAACATGGTGCTGGGTTTGTTCACACTTAAGCAAAGAAATACCGAACTTCGGGTTTGGTCCTGTCATTAATTACACATATCATGACTAAACAGACACTTTTCTTTGGAACCAACTCTCAGTGAGAAAGTTGCCAAAAAACAGCTCATGGATGAGCGCATTTGGGAAAGTAAGAGTAGCTTTAGTAAATAATTCTGTCTCAGAAAGTTTGGTTACGGTCCTACACAAAACAAACTCTTTTCATGTCATTTCCCTGGAAAGTCCTTTGGGGCCGTTGTATGGATTGAGCCATATTTATTGCGAAGGGTCAGGAGGTCTTTGAGACTGTGGATATTTCATTCTGTTGTATGTTTCTGAGAAACGTTCAGGAATAATATTTGGTTTCTGTAATTTAATGGACTGGTTTTCGTTGTTTCAGGCCCAACGTATGTGGTTCCCGCTTCCACTCCTATTGTTGTCCAGGGTGGAAAACGCTTCCCGGTGGGAACCAGTGTATAGTTCGTAAGTATCAGCAATATTTCTTTTTAAAGTTGCATGCTGAAGATGCCACTTAACCACAGTACACTTAACCACAAAGTTAGCATTTAGCCTTAGGCTAACTGTGGTTAATGTTCGTGCACAAGGGTACATCGGGGGAAATCAGCAACTCACCAGTTCATGAATTGCTCTTTCTGAGGTTTGACCCCAAGACCTTTAACCACAACACAACCTCCAAAAGATAAAGGCTTGGACTTAAGACCCAAGCTATGTTCAGAACTTGATACTAGCATACTGCACAGTAGGGCTTGGTAAAAAATATTGATTTCTCAATTTTAATTGATTCTCATTTTTACAAAAAGATATCGGTTCCTAAATCCCAAGAATCGGTTAGTGTAGCCTGTTTTCGTTTAATGAATGCATAATCGTAGCACGCCTTCCACCCAATAAATCGCAATAAGCATTGTGCTTTGTTACGTTTAAGTATGAAACAAAGTCTCAGATTTCAAATTCTGTCCATTTTATTACAATATTCAAAAAATAAATACAGTTTTGGCGCTGTTTATTGTGAAGTGACAGATCGCTGTAGCGCCTCAGTTCAAAAGAAGTGGCAGCGCAAAGCGCATGTTAACTGATCATCTCCTCTGCTTTAATAGCAGTTTCAGCACAAAATAAACATGAATAAACAGGTATGTTAAAAGAAAGAGTCAAACTTACCGAATTCCGTATCCTGTCTCATGTAATCGCTCAATCAGTGTTTTAACCACGGAAAGATGTCAGTATAACAGCTTGTAAACAATGTCACACGTAACGTCACATTTACCTCAGAAAAAAAACGTATTTGGTGACTCGTTAGTCAGCTAGAAAAATAAACTCTAAAGAGGAGCACTTTGCTAAATATATATGCACCATATAACATTCATTATAATTTTTTACTGTTCTTCAATATTTAATTTACGTTTGAATAAATCTGTCAAGTTTTTATGACAGCCACCTTTTAACTATTTATATTTCAAAAAACAAATTGGAGTAGAAATATAAATAGTCTATCTAATTTAAAGTTAAGTAATATTATAAAAACTTAGTTGAGTGTTTGCATACAAATTAGCTAATTTTAACCTTCAATATTATAATAATGTAGTACCAACTGTATTTTTTACAGCATTAAATTTTTTTCATTGAGAAAATTTGCCATGTTCTGTACCTGATATACAGTATATCCAAAATAATCAATATTGAATCGAATCGAAATCGAATCGCAAGCTTGTGAAACAACCCAATCGAATCGTGAAATTTGTCAAAACCCAGCCCTACTGCACAATATGTTTGTGCAAACAGTACGCAGTGTGCAACAAGTAATATGCCACATGATCTCACTACATTGCATGCTTTTGCACTCATGCAAATGTTGTGTCCAAAAACTGCATATAGTTAATTATTCTTGCGTACTATCTACCTGTTTATATGCTAACAGATCAAAATGCCTTTGCTGATCACTTATCATGAATATTTGTCTCTCCAGCGATCTGTAGGAACTCGTGTGGGGACGGCTTTTGCTCGAGGCCCAACATGTGTACCTGCTCCAGTGGTCATCTTGCCCCTAGCTGTGGTGCGGCCGCCGGTGAGTTCAGTCATTTCGGTCTCATTTTGTGTCAACAAAACACCCTGGGCTGTATGAAAAACACATTTTGACTAGTTTCTTTCTGGTTTTTGGCCATTTTGGTGCTTTCATTCATAGGCATATTTTAGAAAAAGAGGAACTGGGTATGAAATGACTTCTTGCATTGTTTGGAGCATGTGCGCTAACCGCTAGGGCACAGCTTTGACTGTAGATGTGTTTTTAAAAAATAATTCTCTCTACCCTGCTTGCTTCCTTTGTGGTTGAAGGGCTTGTCATAATTTCAAACTTTTCCTTGACATTTCCAGCGATTTATTAGGTTGAGAGTTGAAATTGAGCAGAGATATGGCCGGCTGGAAATGCTGTGAAATCGCTCGGACAATGTATAGCGTTTCATCCTTTGAATCATTAGCTAAGCTAGGAGTGTTTTCTGTTGAGATACGTTAAATTTGAGACCACACGTCCGCCGGTGAAACCTTGCACCGAGCCTTTTTTATGACTTAGAAAAGCGTGATTGATTTTGTTTAGATGGCGCCGGGAAAATTAATGACTGTCGTTGTTCCCTGGACGAGGTGTTTAGCATTAGCGCAGGTTTCTCTTACTGCACTTGCTCTCTGCCAATGGCGTCCAGCCGTTTCTCAGCGAATGCCCGGAATATGTGGTCATAGACAAACAAACCCAAATGCACCAAACCATAGGGTTCGGTCTCGTAAGCTGTAAAACCAGAGTCAATTTATTCGGCAATGAGAAATTGACCATCTAATTCGGCTGCCAGTCCTCTTGACTGTTTGAAAGCAAATGCTAAACATACGCTTGTACTCTGTTTTGGCAGCCTTATGAGATTTGCGAGATCGGTGATGCTGTCATTACGCCTACCAGACCGCGTACCGTCTGCAGTGGTTGGGAGCGGCCACATTTATGAGTCAGCTATGAATCTGCAATTACTCCATAAATAACAAGCCACCACACGGATGTTAGCCGTAGCCATTAGCGTCCAAATACTGCAGCTGTGCTCAAGATACTGTAACGCTAACCTCTTCCTCTTCATCATTAATATCTGATTACCATACATCTGAATTTTTTATGTTAGGCCATCAGCAGTGTTATTTTAGTATCATTAATATACTATTAAAGTAACTATTAAAGTATTTTTTTTTTCGTTTCGTTTTTTTTTTTTCGTTTTTATTTTTATCCAATTTAGTTAAACTTTTAGTAATTTTGTTGTGTTTTAGTAATTTTATTGTTTTTTGTTAACCCATTGCACTTGTTAACACTAGTTAACTACAATAGTTAATGAAAAATACTAATTTTAGTTTCATTACAACATTTATTAATACATTATTAAAGTAAAACGTTGTATCTTAATATTTTTAATGGAACTGAGCTGACATGAACTAACAATGAATAGTTGTATTTTTATTAATTAATGTTACCAAAGATTAATAAATTCTGTAAAAAATTTATTGCTCATTAATTGTTAGTTAATGCACTTAATGTTAACTAATAAGACCTTATTGCAATGTGTGACCAATATTAATTTCTTAGTACTTCAGCTTAAACTAAATGAAAATGAGATATGTTGCCTTGGAAGCTAAATTAAATTAAAAAAAGTTTTGTTTTAGATATTTTAGTATTTCAATTTAAACAAAAAAAAATTTAAATGAGAAATGTTGCTATGGCAACTAACTGAAATAAAATGAGTTTTTGTTGTAGTTATTTTAGTACTTAAACTAAACGAAAATCCGAAATGTTGCCTAGGCAAATAACTAAAATAAAAACAAGTTTAAGTTGTGTTTTAGTAATTTTAGTACTTCAACTTAAAATAAACAAAAATGAGAAATGTTTCTAATTTTAAACTAACTGAAATAAAACGTTTACATTTTGTTTGAGTTATTTTAGTTCTTAAACTTAACAAAAATTAGAAGTGCTTTTATTTCAGTTAGCTTAAAGTTAAAAAGTTAAAGTTTTGTTGTATTTGTTTTAGTTCTTAAACTTAACGAAAATCTGAAATTTTACCTTGGCAACTAACTGAAATAAAATGTGTAGTTTTTGTTGTGGTTATTTTAGTACTTAAACTAAGCAAAAATTTGAAATGTTGCCTAGGCAAATAACTAAAATAAAAATAAGTTTCAAGTTTTGTTTTAGGTATTTTAGTACTTTAACTTAAAATAAACCAAAATTAGAAATGTTTCTAATTTTAAACTAACTGAAATGAAACATTTAAGTTTTGTTTTAGTTATTTTAATTCTTAAACTTAACTAGATAAAATATGTTTATATTTTACATTATATTTAATTCATTTCAGTTAACGTTTATTGTATTTCAAGTAATGAAAATGTTACGTAATATAGTTTTAGTTTTAATAACCGTCTTTAATTGATTGTTCCATACATTTCTGGCATATGTACATTAACTGACATAGTCACCACTGATAAGCTACTACTAAATATATTGTAGAAACTTAATTTTCTGTAAAGCTGCTTTGCAACGATTTGTATCGTGAAAAGCGCTGTACAAATAAACTTGAATTTAATTGAATTAATAACCCAAAAACCCTGGCCGACTGCTCTTAAATCGGATCTCTGGATTTATAATAGAACGCAGAACAAGAACTAGCGCTCGCTGCTATACTTTGGGAAGTTATTCATTTTCATCTTGAACCCCATGATGTCTCGTTGGTGAACCTGACGTTGACAGGCCACGGATCTCCACTCCACGAGAAAGAAACGACCATAAAGGACCTCTGTTTCTCTGTTTCTCAGCCTCGCTCATGTTTCCTGCCGTCAACGTAGCTTGTAAAAAAGTGACAGATGTGACTGCTGTGGACAGAGGTGCATTGTGGGGTGGCAGGCCTCGGGAAGCCCCGTTTTGAGCGTGTGCATCTCAGCACGTGCAGCTCACTTAGCACGGGTCAGCGAGCGAACCACCTGTAGGGGGCCGTCAGCAGGTCTAGCCAATGAAGTCATTTCCTGTGCTTTAGGAAAACACGGCCCATGCTCAAACATTTACAGGCCTTGCTGTTGAAAGCATGCCATCGTCGAAAAAAACAAAAAGCACTCACGTTTGATCTCCATCCAGCAGCATTTTTCATGTGAAATCAGACAAAAACAGGCACATTTTTACAAAAAAAAACCTTTTCATCCTTTACCCTCTGTTTTAGTTTATTCTTTTTTAAGTTTCTTTAAAAGGATTAGATCATGGCAGGCGGAGATAAAAGGAATAAATGAGGAACTGTTACATTTTTTTTTTTTTTTGTCGGGGATAAGTAGTAGCTTGAATTATATTTGGGCTGAAGAGTAATGGCACGATGCCTTTGTTTAGACAGAACGAAAGAGTTTGGAGACAGCAACGTTTTGATGCAACCGATGGGGAACATCAATCTTTTTTAAAAACTCGGTGCGTGAGTCCCATCAGAGATGATTCGTTGTGCTTATGTCATGCAATTTTAAATCGCCATGGTTTCATGTACAAACCCTATTGAACTCTATTGAAAGTTTTGCTAAATGATTCGTTCTGCGGCAAGAGAATTTCCATTTCGTGAAAATCGCTGGAAAATAAATCTACTCGTCCAAAAAAACGGCTGGTAGAAAATCAGGATGAAAATAGGCTTTTGTTGGCCAAGTTACCAGTAATTTGAATTGGCCGTCACTGATATTGGAAAGACAATAAATATGTAAAACAATTAAGGGTTTTTCTCAATATATACTGTAAGTATGATTAAGTTAAATAAATAGTGGGAGGCAGATACAGTAAACTGAAATATACACTTGTGTAACCTACATACAGTTATATATATATATATAAATTTTAAACTAACTGAAATGAAACATTTAAGTTTTGTTTTAGTTATTTTAATTCTTAAACTTAACTAGATAAAATATGTTTATATTTTACATTATATTTAATTCATTTCAGTTAACGTTTATTGTATTTCAAGTAATGAAAATGTTACGTAATATAGTTTTAGTTTTAATAACCGTCTTTAATTGATTGTTCCATACATTTCTGGCATATGTACATTAACTGACATAGTCACCACTGATAAGCTACTACTAAATATATTGTAGAAACTTAATTTTCTGTAAAGCTGCTTTGCAACGATTTGTATCGTGAAAAGCGCTGTACAAATAAACTTGAATTTAATTGAATTAATAACCCAAAAACCCTGGCCGACTGCTCTTAAATCGGATCTCTGGATTTATAATAGAACGCAGAACAAGAACTAGCGCTCGCTGCTATACTTTGGGAAGTTATTCATTTTCATCTTGAACCCCATGATGTCTCGTTGGTGAACCTGACGTTGACAGGCCACGGATCTCCACTCCACGAGAAAGAAACGACCATAAAGGACCTCTGTTTCTCTGTTTCTCAGCCTCGCTCATGTTTCCTGCCGTCAACGTAGCTTGTAAAAAAGTGACAGATGTGACTGCTGTGGACAGAGGTGCATTGTGGGGTGGCAGGCCTCGGGAAGCCCCGTTTTGAGCGTGTGCATCTCAGCACGTGCAGCTCACTTAGCACGGGTCAGCGAGCGAACCACCTGTAGGGGGCCGTCAGCAGGTCTAGCCAATGAAGTCATTTCCTGTGCTTTAGGAAAACACGGCCCATGCTCAAACATTTACAGGCCTTGCTGTTGAAAGCATGCCATCGTCGAAAAAAACAAAAAGCACTCACGTTTGATCTCCATCCAGCAGCATTTTTCATGTGAAATCAGACAAAAACAGGCACATTTTTACAAAAAAAAACCTTTTCATCCTTTACCCTCTGTTTTAGTTTATTCTTTTTTAAGTTTCTTTAAAAGGATTAGATCATGGCAGGCGGAGATAAAAGGAATAAATGAGGAACTGTTACATTTTTTTTTTTTTTTGTCGGGGATAAGTAGTAGCTTGAATTATATTTGGGCTGAAGAGTAATGGCACGATGCCTTTGTTTAGACAGAACGAAAGAGTTTGGAGACAGCAACGTTTTGATGCAACCGATGGGGAACATCAATCTTTTTTAAAAACTCGGTGCGTGAGTCCCATCAGAGATGATTCGTTGTGCTTATGTCATGCAATTTTAAATCGCCATGGTTTCATGTACAAACCCTATTGAACTCTATTGAAAGTTTTGCTAAATGATTCGTTCTGCGGCAAGAGAATTTCCATTTCGTGAAAATCGCTGGAAAATAAATCTACTCGTCCAAAAAAACGGCTGGTAGAAAATCAGGATGAAAATAGGCTTTTGTTGGCCAAGTTACCAGTAATTTGAATTGGCCGTCACTGATATTGGAAAGACAATAAATATGTAAAACAATTAAGGGTTTTTCTCAATATATACTGTAAGTATGATTAAGTTAAATAAATAGTGGGAGGCAGATACAGTAAACTGAAATATACACTTGTGTAACCTACATACAGTTATATATATATATATATATATATATATATATGTACAGTTGAATGTTCAAAATATGTTACACTTTGTAGTATCTGCAAAATGGTAATTATTTTACCAAAATAAGAGGGATCATAAAA